CAAGCCGCAACCAGCAAGCGTTCATGCACACGTACTGTAGTGCTGCCACGCAGACATGCAAATGCGGCATCCCCCACTCACACACCCTTCAAAGAAACGAGGAAGTTGAGGACACGAGTTGGGGGGGGTGCACGGATGGGGGCACACGCCTGCTTCTTAGGCACACACAAAGAGAGAGAGAGAGAGAGAGAGAGAGAGAGAGAGAGAGAGAGAGAGAGAGAGAGAGAGAGAGAGAGAGAGAGAGAAGGTGTGCGACGTCGCAGCGTGTGCCATGTCGCTCTGGCGCACCACGTGATCTCTCTCTCTCTCTCTCTCTCTCTCTCTCTCTCTCTGTGTGTGTGTCTCTGTGGAGCGACACGCGGCACCAAGGCAGCACTCATCGAGGTGGCTGAAGGCGGTAGAGTCGATGGAATGATGGGAGCACGAACGGGCTCGGCCATCTCCAGCAATGTGAAAGGCCCTTAACCAGTCCCGTCCTCTGCCGAAAATCAAGTGGGACAAGCCGGTACCCGGGAATGACAACTACCGCAAATGAAAAAATTTGGGACGGCCCGGTACCAGGGAACAGACCAGTACCTGCGACATAAATGCCTATTACAAACTACCACCCTGACTCCACTGCCGGCGTGAGTTACAATAGCCTTTTTGACCTTGGGCCATGACAAAGTTGCTGCTGCATGTTTTTTTTGCCAATTATGAACTCTGATGTGACATGAATGTAGTTCCCGCTTCTTCTGTTTTTTAACGGAAAGCTTGTCCTGGTTTGTTAGTGAGAGTGATATGAGAAGCTCCGACTAGCAGCTCTGCCTGGCTGAGCCAATCTATTGGTGGGAGGTACAGCTGCTGCAAACTGGGTCCAACGTCAATCAAGGATCAGTTACATGCCATTCCCTGAGGTCCTCGCCTGACTCCATGTTTCCCTGTCTGCTACCCGAACTATCCATTCCCTATCTACAAGGACATCGACCAAGCTACACCTGCTGGAAACCGTGTCCAGCGTCCCGCCCGAATATCCTTCAAGAATCAATTACACGCCATTCCCCGAGGTCCTCGCCCGATTTTGTCTTTCCCTGTCTGCTACCCGAACTATCCATTCCATGTCTGCAAGGACTTTGACCGAGCACTGTCACTCAACCCCTTTGCCAAGCCTTCGGTCGGTCAGACCGGTCCGCTTCGTCTACAACTCATAGATCTGCCCCCAGTCCCACACCCTGCCGATTCCGGTCCTCAGTGGGACAACCCACCCCCCTCTGGCCGACAGTAGTCCCTGTGCCCTACAAAAAGGCAGTCAAAATTTTGTTTTCTATCAGCGGGGCTTTTTTGTACCCAACAAAGGCAGCCCAAATCCGGGCTCTTTTCCAGTTTTTCAATGTTGTCCATTTGGGCAGAAAGCGGGGTATAAATGGGCTTAAAGGGGCTTAAAAGATATCAGGGTGTTACTGACGCGAGGGAACAGGCAACCACAAAAAGAATCTGCACTACACAAATTCTTTCTTTGCGTAGTGCTAGGCTAAGTTTCAACGTGCCTGGGCCCGTCCAGCCGACTTGGCAGGGTCCTCAGCAGCCCCAGCCCAGAATCAGAAAAACAAGAAAAAACTAAAAAAAGAAAAAAAAAAAAAAACTCTTCCTGGAAACAAAATATGCTGTATAGAAGTGTGATGCGAACAACTTTTGCCTGAGGGTCAACTCACCGTGCTCCCTCCAGATGCCCCCCTCCGGATTTTGGGTGCATTGGTCACAGCCAAAGAGAAGCCGGACACTAACGATAAGTGGTATTGACCCGTCCAGTTGATGTGGCTTAGTGGTTAGAGCACCGGTTTGAAATGCGCATTGTGGTATGAGGTTGCAGGTTCAAAACTCAATTGCAACCTTGTGCATGGACACCGGCAGGGCATTAGATTAACGCACGGCTGGACATACACTCCCCTTGGGCTGACACATGGTACTGCCTGTGCACCACCCAAGGGTTGTTCATGGTGTTGTAGGTTCTGGGCTTCACATGGGTTGCTTGCGGGTGTTGGTCTTGGGTGTTTTGTTGATCTCCCTAGTCTGGCATATCACACGTGTCATTTCTGCTAGTCGTTCACATGGTAGAGTCGTTCGATTACATGTTACAAGGTCATGGGTTCGAGCTTGGTTCGGACCTTGGGGGGGTCCTTGTCCAGCTTGCCCCGTTCTCTCTTTGATATACACACATGAAACTGCCTACACACTACATTGATTCACAGAGCACACACAGCCTTCGGGCATTTACATAGCTTGCGAATTATACATGGCCTATGGGCTACTTACACAAGTTTCCACACATGGTGCTGTCTGTACATCTTGATACATAGATACATGGAGCATACACAGCCTTCGGGTATACACATAGATTGCGAACTACACAACTATCAGACTGGGGGGGTCTAGTCACTGGTGGGGTCTAGTATCTGCAGTAGGTACAGGTAAGGCCCGCTGGAGTTCCTACTGATATTCGGATAGAACTGTCTAATGGCTATATAAGGCTTAGACCCTAGGGTGAGGGTAGGGGTATAAGTCGCTCAGGCCAGTCCGAGTTCCGCCTGGCCTTGGGTAAGCTAGGGGAAGGACGGTAAGACTGTTTCAATGGGTGCTACTCTGTCTGAACCTAGGGTCCAGAGTCTCTTGGGGCCTGTAGTAGATTGTCTGGGCCTGGCGTCCGAAGTTCCCGTTCGACAAGGCTCGTCCGATTCCACTTCCACCAGGGCTGGGCAACCTATCAGCCCTGGTGCCTATCACTGCTGTTCGGTCCAAGTTACCTGCCCATTGATAGGGTAATGGTCCTGAGTGCTCGTCACACTGCGGTAGGATAGTGGGATAGGGGGTGCGCTAGGAGTATTGACATGAGGATGGGATGGGAGGGGGTCTCATATTCCAGGACACCCACGGCCTACTGCTCCAGGTCATCACTGTGCACTCAGTGACTGGCCTCTACAACAAAAGTGGATATTGACCCCGACGCAGGCCAAACTAAGAAAATGAGATAATAAACAAACGTCGATCTTCGGGCGGGCGTTGGTTATCAACAATGTGGTGCTAGCCTTTCTTTGGTACAAAGCTATCCTGTGGCCAGTGAGCACCGGGGGGTTAAATGCTTTTAAGAGGCAGTTAGCAGCATTCCTGTGGAGGTGATTTAGTGGGAACTCCCATGTCATCGGCAGGGTTGCATGGGAGTCTGTGATCCAGCCCAAGGCTGGGGAGGGGCTGGGGATCATTGACCCCTCCACACCGTTTCAAGCCCTGACCCTACAATGGTCCATTGTCTTATCTTCTCACCTTCCTCCCCCTGGAACCCCATAGCTGTGACACAGATTGCGGTCTTGGCCCAGGAGGCTCCACCTGAGATTGATTCCCTGGTATGGTTAGAGGATAGGTATTGGGAGGCATAGAAACAGTGACCGGTAGGTGAGCACTCGCCACACCTTCTTCGGGTGTGGAGGAAGCTTTCAATCCCAGACAGACCTGCTCCAGAGAGATGGGAAGAGGTGGTTAGGCAACCGTTGTTTGGTAACAGATGGATCACAGACTCCCTCCACCGGGTGAGGTGCAGCTCGGACCCCCTGGGGAAGGGCTGGGTGAAACAAGGGACTTGAAAGGGGGGAGACTTATGGGACGTGGAAGCGGGAGAGTGGAAAAGCGCAGAAAGAACGCGGGGATGGCTGCAGTACTGTCATCTAACCGAGGTTGCGCTAGAAGAACTATTTGAAAGCTTCCCCTTGGCTTGGTATGCCATTCTTTGGAGGGACCCCCGGTTGGAGGAAGGGGACTGGGTAGGACTGCCGGGGCAGCAATGACTTTTAGAGCGAGAGCAACTGGTGGAACGGGAGGAGGTGTTGATCGTTTCTCCATCGGAAGGAACGGTTGGTTAACTGGGAGCATACAGCCTTTTGTGTGGAGAGGAAAGAACTTAGCACGCCTGAGTGTTAGACGAAGGAAGAGGATGAAGGGCTTACAGACCTATGACCCCAATTGCGGACCTTCCATTTTACCCTGAGGAGTAGCGGTGGATTAGGACAAGCCAAGCCACCCAGAGAGGGCAGCAGAACCAGAATCTGGTGGCGCTGGCCAACCTGAAGACAAAAACGGCATATCATATGCTGAGACCCAAACGAAGTCTTCAGGCGTGGTGGAGGACAGATGGGAGCGTCACCTCAATGTGGACATCAATTTGCTAAGGCCCATAAAGTGGTTCAAGGAATACAAAGCGAAGCCCGCCCAGATTTCTTCGCTGCAGTGGCAGATAGCCCACCGATGCCTGCCAACAGACCCCACACAACTAGAACAGCAAGGGCGTGCGCTGCCGTGGTGCCGACGATGTCTGCAGGCCTTCCCAGCACAAAAACGCCCCGATGCAGTGGAACACATTTTCTTAGAATGTTCCTCAGCCGTGTTCGTATGGCAGTGGTGGGACAGGATCTGGTGACACATGGTCCCAGGCTCGCTGTGGCCACGGGACTGGCCATCCTGCTTGGACGTTACCCCTGTGTCCATGAAAGTACACCCTTCATGAGAACATGTTTGCGTGGGCAGACGTTCTATCCTCTGGGTGATTTGGTGGAGGAGATGCATCTCAGAGATGAAGGGGGCCAGGGTGGAAGATGGGAAGGTTACAGAGCATCTCCGTCAACTGATACAGAACGAGATCGCCGTCTGATGGCAGGCCACCAAGGACCAACTGGACCTGGCGCGCACCAAAAGAGAGGCTGACCAGATCATCTCCAAATTTTGTGAGGATTGGCTATGAGGGAGGCGGGGAGGTTGGATAGTCAAGCTGAGCTGCATAGGCACCAGCCTGAGGACAAGAGTCAGGGGATGGGGGAGGGAATACTGGGGGAACAGCAGACAAACGTGGTGAGAGACTACCGTCCGCACTTTCGGGACTGGACAACAATAGATCCCAGAGATCAGCTGAGGGATGTGCAGGAATTTGCGGACCAATTCCCCCCACACCCGCTATCCTTTCGGGACTGGACAACAATAGACCCCAGAGATCAGCTGAGGGGCCCCCACACCCGTTATCCTTGGTGGAATTGCTGCAGAACTGAGCAAAGCAAACACAGTTCAAACACATTTCAACAACCAGCAGGGTTAAGCAAAGGTGTCATAAGGACACCGGCATATGGGGTATCCAGGATACGAAGACCATCCAGGACACCCGGGACATCCAGAAAATCAAGAGCATCCAGAGCATCCAGAGCATCTAGAGCTTCTACGTTACATCTCAGCACCACAGCACCACAACGTGACAAAGAAGGTGGCAATAAAGCCAAAAGCCAAAGCCCCGGTGCCCCCAGGGCCCAAGGCAGGGCCTTTCCCCCCGAAAGGACAAGGAAGGCTGGTTTAGAGAAGGGCGGGGTGACGTGTGGTCCTGCTGGTGACCCCCCAGTTTCCAAGCCAGGAATGCTGGACCCGCTTTCCAGCTCTGGGAAATTGCCTTTTGGTAGATGTCCACCAAAAAAAGGTTAGACACGGTGGACGGGTACAGCTGGAGTGGAAAAGGTTGACATTAGCAGCGCCCTTCAACAACCAGCTCAGCTAATCCTCTGAAAATCCAGAGTAATCAATGCTCACATGCCTTTTCCAGATACTTTCCTGTTTTCCCTTCTGAATTTTCTGAATTTTCTGAATTTTCTGAATTTTTTGAATTTTCTGAATTTTCTGAATCATTCTGTACAATGGGAGGCTGAACCCGTTTTCCAGCAGGTGATGCTCCACACTAATAGATGGAGCCCCTCCCTGAGGTGCTAGCGGCGTCTCCTTTTACCAGCACCACTAGGACCGGAGGGAGTGTTTGAAAAAAAAAAAAAAAGTTCCTTGTTTGATGTGGTTGACTGCCACAGGGTAACACACAGGGTAACACACACACACACASAGAGAGAGAGAGAGAGAGAGAGAGAGAGAGAGAGAGAGAGAGAGAGAGAGAGAGAGAGAGAGAGAGAGAGAGAGAGAGCACCATGCACCACACGTGTATGTGCGTGAGGGAAAGAGAGGGCAGCGGTGGGCTCAGTGCGGGCCTCATCACGCATGATCCAAGAGGCACAGTGGGTGGAAGAGATGTGAGTGTGTTGTCATGACAGCCGGTGTCCAAAGCAAGTCCACAGAAATTGGAATATGTGGCATTAAATCGCCAATTAACACCAACCTAAGAAGTGCTCTTACTTGTATATGTGGTAAGAGCATCTCGGTTCGGCCCCGGGCAGGCAGGGAAAGCGGCAGTGCACTTTGAAAAGGCGCGGTTGCAGGCGGGCAAGCCTTGGAAGGGTGCTAGGTCAACTTAGGCTCATTTGAACTGATGGTTTAAGGAAGTAGTAGTGCAACTTATGGAAGTTGTGTAAACATCTGTCACCTGAGTGGTGGGCTGCAGAGGGTCAACAATCTTCAGATGCTCTTCATGGAGAAGGGATCCAGTGAGGGCAAGCTGGAATGACACGCACTAGTGAGCAGGAACACTTCATTGACTTTGTTTGCATATATGTCCAGTCTTGGAGTCCCGTAAACAGTATCGTCTGAAAAAAGAAAGAAAGTCCCATAAACAGTACCGTACAGTAGTTGCCAGAAAATCTCTCTACAATTCTTCAGAGTTTTCCACCTAACGATTTACAGTTCAAGCCGGGGGCACTTCTGTCCCCCTCTACCAAATAAAGAAAGAAAACGGAAATCACTGGTAAACAGCCACTGCATCGGTACCTGACGTTTGGCAGTGTGACTGACAGGCGATCGAGCCTCGAGGGTAGGCACCACTTAGCTGATAGACAAGGTACGAATTTCACTTGATAACACGAGATGACAATTTGCAATGGAGTCATCTGATCCCCACTGCTTGATCTACACCTAGCCAAACATCTTACACAGGGAGCTCTCAAGAGTGACAAATACAGAGCATATCACGTCACAGTTCAAAACGACTTAATTTCCTCTGTCGCTTTGAAATGACAGCTACGGGTTCGTGCAAGCACTGGTGAGGCAATGAGAGTGCTGGGTAAAATCCAACAGTTGCCATCCCATGATGACAATCAGTTCAGGACATAAGGAATCAGATTCGAGAACCTAGACATAGACCTAGCTTAGAGGGTGGGGCATGTCCCAGAATCTTCTTCCTGTCGTCTATAAACCCGGCCCTCGGTTTCCTTTCCTCATCTTTCACATTGATAACACCTCTTTCTCAAGACGTCCCCAGAGTTCCCTTCCACAAAGTGAGATCTGACATGACAGGTTTTGATTCTTTTGAAGTTTGAACCTTCAACCATCCAACCACCACCCAAGTTGTTTGGGTGGTGTCATGCCAGAGAGGCCCAGGCTTCATTTTGCAACGCCCAGATCCATTGACTCATGTGGGTCCCCAGGAGGAATATGCACCCATCCAGTCTATCTGCTGCACGGTGAGCAAGCGGCACCACAGTTGTGGGTTATGCAAGGCCTAATAAGGTAATGACCAGAATGATTCAGCCCTGAAAGACCGACAGGCCTACAGACCCCGCTCGAGGACTAGAGTACAAGCAATACACACACCTGAGTTACGTCACGAACTGGTCACTACGAGCTCTACTGTGGATCAGACACTGAACTGTTGTATTCTTCATTTTCTATACGGATCATCCTTGACAGTAAGATTCTGATGATCTTTCACTGCAGCGTGAGACCGTATTACTGGAACTTACTTCACTCTCCCTGATACTTTGAGCTCCACTGGGGATCAGGTACTTAACTCTTATACTCTTCATTTTCTGCAAAATAGAATAATCCTTGCCAGTTAGATTTGGCGATCTTTCTCCTTCGGGTTATCCATTAAAATTGGAACGATACAGAGAAGATTAGCATGGCCCCTGCGCAAGGATGACATGCGTAAATTGAGAAATGGTCCAAATTTAAAATAAAATAAAAAGAGTTGGCGATCTTTCATGCAGGATGCACCTGTGTTATTTCACTCTACTGGGTACCATCGTGACACTTTAGATATTTAATATTCCATGCTGTCCACACTGCACTGGGCAACAGTAAGTGGCAGCTTGGGTCCCCGATTCCAAGATCTGCTACACTGGCATACGAGGCTCGCCGGACAGTACACTACACGAACAAAAAAAACTACTTCGCTTCACAACTGTTTCGCCTCACAGCACCCTCGCAGATCCTGTCAGTGAAAACTAGTTTCCTCCACATTTTCAGAAGAGACACCCATAGAGTATCTAGGATGAGGTCTCTATGAGTAACACCTCTTTCCCCTTCATTTCTTAAGTGTGCAGAAGGACGAGGAATATGCCAAAATATGTTTTCTACCCAAGTAAGGGGATGAACTTCAGGTGGTGCGACCGGTGCCAATTTCCTGATTTGTTGTAGGGCTAAGGGTTGCCACGACTTGTCTATACCAAGAATGAGATCAATCATCCATTGAAGGGACAAAGCTTGACACTTTAGGGTGGGGTCCAAAATTCCTAACCCTCCTCTGGACTTAGGTTGGATGAGGGTAGACCATGCCACTCTAGGAATTACCTTTTGAAGCTCATGATCTTCTCTCCAGAGAAATGTCGTCACTTGTTTTAAGAGATCTTTGATTCCTGGATTGCTAATTGGCCAAATTGCTGATTTGTACCAAATTGTTGCAAACACCACATTATTTATGACCAGCGTCCTCCCTAAAAGAGAGGTATGTTGATTCTTCCATTGATTCATCTTTTGGATTGCGGGCTTTGAAATCCATTCATGATTAGTTGTGGGTTTGCTCGAAGCAGTCAACGATACACCTAATACTCAGAGGGGCTTCTAATGGCAACCATTGTATACTGGGGGATTCGGGTGGACGACCGCCATTTGAGTGGATGCACCATCCTTGCGTTTTACTTCCTCAATTGACTACCATGTCTGAGAGGGCGGAAAATTTGTCCAAAAGGATTTTTATTTCTTCCATGTTTGTCTCTGAAGCCTCTATTTTGATCGTAAGATCATCTGCAAACGTTGAGGTTATTGGTATTGCCTCTTCCGGGATTCCTGAAATGCTAAGTTGTTTGATATTAGGATTAGCTCTAAGGTTGACACCCAGGGCTTCCATTACAATAATAAAAAGAAATGGAGCCAGAGGGTCGCCTTGCCTTACTGACCTCTGAAGACGGATTTCTGAAGACAGCAACCCATTCACAAAATTACGTGTGGTGACATTTATATGTAGAATTTCAACCCATCTACGTACGTTGGGTCCGAAGTTTAGTTTGTGCAAGCAAACATCTAGAAATCGCCAATCCACATGATCATATGCCTTTTCAAAGTCTATAAAAACAACAGCGGCATTTTGCTTGGTTTGTCGTGCAACTTTGACTATTTCATCGATTAGAAGGATATTGTCTTGTATGTGCCGACCTTTTATAAATCCCGTTTGAGATAGATGAATTATGTCAGCCATTACTGGGATCATACGATTGGCCAGAGCTTTAGCAAGCAATTTGTATACTAATGTAAGTAGAGTAATTGGTCTGTAATTCCTGATATTGGACTTATCCCCTTTTTTGTATAATAGGGTAAGAATTCCTTAACTGACAATTTCTCTCATTTGGCCTGTTTCCCACACCTCATGATAGTATTGCATCAGGTCTGGTGACAGAATGGGCCACATCTTCCCAAAAGATGTATCCATTTGCTCTTTTGTCTTGAATTTTGTCAATTTGTCTCTGATTATCTGTCTTTCCCAATGATGCTGCGCAAATGACAAAAGTTGTTTCCTGCGTTTTTGGATATCAATAGTTTGTGAGGATTCAAGGTCTTGAGATTCATAATTCAGAATTTGTTCTTGAATTTGTATTTCCTGCAAATGTTTATTCTTTGCTCGTAATTTTAAAAATTCATTGCATTTTTTTGCAAGAAAACTTAGCCCATTGTTGAACCAAGAAATAAAGGAATCTTGTTTCTCTTCCGTCGAGTGCCAATATTCCCATACATCTGCTAAATATTTTTTTAAATTATCGTATATTAGCAAATACGTATTTAGTTTATAGAATTTTTTCCCCTGATCCGGTTTCTTTTTGAAGGAGACGAGTATTGAACACATTTTATGATTTGCCCCTGACCATGGGCTTTGTGGAAAAATTGCTGCCCCTATGAGAATTCTTTATAGATCGTCAGACATGAGGATCAGATCTATTCTTGATCTAGATTGGAGGCGGTTACCTTGATTGCATAAACATGTGAATAATCTTTTACGCGGGAAGATTATTTGGTACGGGC